GGAACACAGCAGCAGGGGCATTAATTACCGGGGCTTATGGCACCCCCCGAGACCAGAGTCTCATCCAAGTCCACGGCCTGAGCCACGGGGAGACAGAGCATGAAGCACCTCGGAGCTTTTCTCCTCTCCCTAGGCGCCCTTGCCTCCGCCCGCACTGGGGCGCACCAAGGCTGCTTCCCCAGAAGACAGGTGGGAGAAGACCCCCCCAGTTCCCAGGTGAGCCTGCAAGGTTCCCCGGTTCAGTAATCAAGTCAGAGAAATCATCCGCTCCGCATGAAACTCCACAGGGGCTGGAATGAGTCCTCATCACTGCCTGGTGCAAAGGGAGGCTGGAATGCAGGAGACCTAGTCCGTAGCACTGGGGAGAGGAAACGTGGCTCAGGCTATGCAGGTCACGGGCTCCGGCATCTGAGACCATGAGGGAGACAAGTTTATACAAGCCCCGTGTTGCTGTGGCCCAAAACAGGGCAGAGAGAGGACAGAGGTCTGAGGGGTGACAAGAAAGGGGGTCACTGGGAACCCTTGGTACACCATGGACCCTTTTATACACCACTGTATACGCAATGGTTTCTGGTGTGATCCCAGCACAACCTGCAAATCAGGTGCCGGTCGTCCCATTTCACAGATGAGGAAACTGAGGCTCAGGGAGCAGGGAAGCAGCGGTGTGGGGCTGGCCCAAGGCTGATGGCACCAATGCCCGTGCTCTTCTTAGCAGACAGCTCTGGCCCCACTGCAGGTCAGAAGGAGGGTCTGTGGCTTCCCCTGCAGTGACACAGCCCCTACACGCCCCCAGTGCCCAATCTTAAGTCCCCTCACATCCAACTGCCTTTAGAGTACGACGGTTTCCGCAGTCTTGTGACAAAAAGGCACCATCTGCGAAGATAAGGAGGCTTCCCATCACTGAGACAACTGGAAATAGAATTCTCTGACCAGTAAAATCAGATACTACCGAGATCTCCCCAAGGGACTGACGGGCTCTTAGCCAGGAAGATCCAGCCTGGGGGTATTTACTTACCCAGAGGGAGAATGGGTCTATGGGTGTGGCCAGTCTGCTTAAGAGGGAGAAAAGGAATGCCTAGGGTAAGGCAGAACTGGGCCATGTGTCCAGAGGACTCACTGGGCCGGGAGCTGAGGCACTCTGCACCCAGAACCCAGCGCAGGCACTCAACAGCATAGAGACTGAACTACTGAGCAAACACCCAAGGAAGGGGATCCTGGGTGGGTGGGTCCACGCCCTGCAGGGAAGCTTGCCCAGCCTGCCCAGGGCAGTGGGAACCGCTTCCAAAATCATTCAGCCAGCTCGAGAGGGGGCCCTGCCCAGGCGCACTTTCCAGACCCACCACCGTATTTCCCACCATAACTGCCCGTCAACCTTCCCACCTACATCAGGCTCTTGTGAGTTTGGTGACTGTGTGCCAGTCTTTGAGACACGATGATCCCAGGCACAGACAGGCATTTGGAGGCCTGGATAGATCCCCAAGAGAAAGGCGAGCACATGTCCATCAAAGACATGGAGAGGAATAATCCCAGCAGCTTTATTCCCAACAGCCTCAAACTGGAAAACAAAATGCCCACCAACAGAACGGGTACACAAAACGTGGTGTATGCGTACCATGCAATATCAGACATAAGACGGCAAACTGTCAGTACACCGCCCAACCATGAGCAGAGGGTGTACCGGGACACACTATATGCCTCTGTTCGTATGAAGTTCGAGAAGTAGTAAGAGGTACTGATTGCAAGGGGCTAAAGGAACCTTCTAAAGTGTTGACAACCTACTGACCACAACTGGGTATTTAGGTAAAAATACACTGACCATACGTTCACCTGAGGTCTGTCCACTTACACCGGAAGCTCAAAGTTTAAACCGAACGGAAGGAAGAAAACTATGTGGGGTCTTCAAGGACCAAAGCGTAGACCCCAGTCAGAAGCAGGGTCCAGCTGAGGCAGCTCCCCAGCGTGGCAGTTTTAAAAATAGGCCCCCAGGGGCGCCTGGGTGGCTCAGAGGCTTAAAGCCTCTGCCTTCAGCTCAGGTCATGATCCCAGGGTCCTGGGATCGAGTCCCGCATCGGGCTTTCTGCTCAGTGGGGAGCCTGCTTCCCCACCACACCGCCTGGCTCTCTGCCTACTTGTGATCTCTGTCAAATAAATAAATAAAATCTTTAAAAAAAAAATGCCCCCAATTCTTTTATCTTTTTCCCTTCCAAAGGTGGAGACTCATTTTCCTCCCCTTGAACGTGGGCCAGACTCCACGACGCCCTTCGAAGCCCCAGCATAAAGCAGAAGAGACGGCGTGGGACTTGAAAGACTAGGTCACAAAAGGGCACTGTGGCTTCTGGGTTGGTCTCTGGGGGAAACCGCCTGCCATGTTGTGAGGACAGTCAAGCAGCCCGGTGGAGAGACCCCCAGGGTGCTGGGTCTGAGGCCTTTCCCCACAGCCACTCCACGGGAGGGCGCGCCTCAGCCATCACCAACAGAGCCACCCACCCCCCCAAGCTACTCGTAGGTTCCTGACCCTCAGAGACTAGGAGGTAAGAAACGTTTGCTGTCCCAAGCCTTTGAATTTGGGGGTAATCTGTTACTCAGTAATAGATCACTGAAACACACAAAGCACGCCGACAAGCCTGCTGGGGTCCTCACACCGGATCACCCCGACAAGCCTGCTGGGGTCTTCACACCCAAGGTCGCCGCTCCTCACACCGTCCCTGACTGGATCCTGGAGCTCAGGCAGCCCCATCTGCCACGGTTTCTTCACAGCATTGGCCTTCGCCTGGCACTGGCCCACTGGCTTGACCACGTTTTCAACTGTTTCCTATCCCTAGCAAAGAAGCCCCTTGAGGGCAGGGACCCTACCTGTCACTCATAGCACCAGAACGGTGCTGGCCACACAGAAAGCGCTCGGTAGAAGTGGATGAACAAGGGGCGCCCGGCTGGCTTGATCTCAGGGTTGTGAGTTTGAGCCCCATGTACGGATTACTTCAAAATAAATAAGACTTAAAGAAACGGATGAATGGATGGAAATCCCAGCTCCAAGCAGAGACACCCCAGCAGCCTGGGAATCCCTGGCCCGTCAGCTTCACAAGGTCCAGAAGTTTTCAGGGGCACCAAGGAACGAGAGAGGGCGGGGAGCTGATCCTAGAAACGTGACTGATCCAGGAGCAGGTGGCTGGGCCCCCTGCCTCCCTAGCTCTCTTTCCCACCAAGCTGGCTTGCTGCCCCTGACAGAGAAGGGGAGGCAGGTTCCCTGAGGGGACAGTACCCCTGCCAGGAATCTCAGCCAGCCCCCTCACTCCCTGCCCTAACCAGGGTTCTAGGGCCAGGGCTGAGGCCATGACAGACACTCTGTGTGCACACTGAGCCAAGGCAAGGGCTTTCTGCCTGCACTTGAAGATCCCGGTGGAAGAACACAATTCAGGACAGAGGGAAAGTTCATCTTGAACTCCACCTCTAGTTCAGAGGAGGCCTTCCCTTTAGCCCCACCCTCCCCCGCTGCCCCAGACCTACCTTCCGTGCTCCATTGGCGGTACCCACTGGGCCACAAAGGCCCAGCCAATGAGCCTTCTCCCCTGTGCTTTTGAAAGGGGATCCAGCCAGGAATGGTTACAAGAGCTCTGGGAGCAGGCTCTGAAGGGCAGGGGCAGCTGGCTGAGCCTCGGGCCAGACTACTTGGGGCGCTGCAGCAGGCCGGATTCCCTGTTCTTTGTGAGGGCCCAGGGTCTGGCCCTGGGACTCATGCGGGACCAGGACTCATGACCTGTCCCAGAGTGGGAGGAAATGGCTTGATTCCTGGGGGTGCAAGGTGTCACCGTTCTCACAGAATGCCCCGTCTCTGCCCTGTCCCCCAGTCCTGTGTCCCCCAGGAATGGGGCAGAAACTCTTCACAAGTGGCCAGAAGCCAGGCATGAGGGCAAAAGGGCAGCGGATGACAGGCTCAGAGAGTCAGGCCTTCAGGGTAAGGGGTGGGTGGAGGTGGGAGCAGCCTGCCTAGAGAGGCCGCTCTGTGGGGCTGTCTGATCCTGTGGGGCTGTCTGATCCTACCAGGTGGAGACACCAGACCCAGAACTGTCCCCTCAGTCCATTTCCCGCCACTCTGCCTAAAATGCCACCACTTGAGAAACCACAGTGCACAAAGCCTGGGGAATTCGGGAGCCTAACGTCAGCTCTGCCACAAACTCTCAGTGACCTTGGCTTCTCAGCTCAGTTTCCCTCCCGTGCAAGGGAGTAAGGTGGTAGGTCCTGGATGACCCCTGGGGGTGCCCTGGGACCCGTGCGGGCGGGGTAAGGTCGTCCTCCCCACACTGCCCCGTAGGGGACCTGCCCTCGGTCCCCTCGGACGGAGTGAAGTGGTTTGCGGGGCTGGGTACACGGGGGGCGTGGCTGCGACTGGAGGGGTCCATCCCAGGGCGTCTCTCGGGTGGAAGGCGGTGCTGGTGGGGGTGCTGTCCAGCCGGGCAAGGCCCATGTGGGGCCGCCCTCGCCCCCTCGCGCCCCCCTCCTGCTTACACTTACATTTTGCCTCCTTCCAGTCGGTGGAGGTGCTCAGGTCCACCTTCGCCGCCATGGCCAGGGGGGCCCAGGTGCGCACCCCGGCGCTCCTCTCCGCCCCACTGCCGCCGCCCCCCAAGCCCCAACTCCCGCTGGGGTCCGCGCGTCGGGGCTGTCCGCGCCCAGGGACGCCGGGGGGACCGCACGCGGTGCTGCGGGTCCGCGTGGCCCCCGCGTAGGGGACGGACCAGGGGCGCGGGACGCAGAGCAGCTGCCCCGCTGCGCGCAGCTGTGCCAGGCGGCCGGACACTTGGCTCCTCAGGGACATGAGCAGGCGGCGCGGGGCGGCTCCCCGCCCACTTGGACTCTATTTACGGGGCTGGGAGTCTCTCCCTGATCCGCTCGGGACCGAGCGGCGTGTGCTGGCGGCGACCGGCTCCGAGACGGCGGGCCGCGCGGCCAGAAACCCCGAGCGCGCCGCTGGGCACCCTGGAACTTGTAGTCCCGGTCGCCGGATGGGCCCCCGCACTCCTATACACACGTGCGCGCCCCAGCCGGGCTCCGCCCCCTCCCCGGCGCCGGGATTGCGTCGGGCGGGAGGCTCCTCCTTCTCCGAGGGTCGCGCGGCTGCCAGGCGCCCGCGCGGGGCTCGCCGCCAACCTCCGGGTGTGGAGAGCCGCCCTCCCCGCCGCGCGGCCCTGGCCCGCCTCTGCCCTCCGTCCCCGGCGCTCCGCGCTCGGTACCGAACTCCGACAGCCGGGCGCCGCGCGCCACCCGGCAACCCGATCCCGCCCCCAGTCCCCACGAGCCGCGGTCCCTCCCTGCCGCCCGGCCGGCCCCCGGGAGGGGACAAGCCGCGCGAACAGGTACGTCCGGTTCGGCGACTTTCCCCAGGGAGCTGAACGCCGGGGGTGGGCGGGGATGCGACTGGAAGCAAGGGTGCACACTGTGGAAGGCAGAAAATGTGAGTTCCAGGAGGCGTTCTCGGGTGGAACAATGGGCGTCATTTTTTTTTTTTTCTAATTTTTTACGGAGACTCTGAAGATAGATTTTTTAAAATATAAGTTTGCTTCTGTGTTTCTACACCGTGAACATTATTTGAGAAATATGATAGTGGATATTTTTATAATCTGTGGAGGAGTCAGGGTCCCAGAGAAGATTCCAGTACCAACTTGCCACCCTGGGCTACATAGGCCGCTTGAGGTGCACTTCTTGAGCTGTAAATTAAAAATTAAGATGGGCGCGCCTGGGTGGCTCCGTGGGTTGAGCGTTTGTCCTCCTATCCAGTGATGATCCCAGAGTCCTGGGATTGGGCTCCCCCCAGCCCCGGTGCAGCTTCCTACTCAGGGAGCCTGCTTCTCCCTCTGCAGCTCCCCATAATGGTGCTCTCTCCCTCTCTCTCTCAAATAAGTTATAAATTAAGATCTTAAAAAAAAAAAAAAAAAAAAAAGATAGGGTTCAGGTCAGGATGTGGCAGTCAGGCCCCCAGGATGAACGTGTGGGTGACCTCAGCACTTGCCACTTCTCCTGTAACTCAGCCTTGCCAGCTACAACCCGGACAGCAGCTGTGTGCAGGGCCCTGGGTACCAGGGGGCACTGAACTAAGCCCTCTGCTTGCATTTGCTGTACCTTCCTGAGCTCGTGATATGCTCCCAACAGCCAGGTGAGGCTGCGGGAACCAGCTGGAGGTCAACAACACCACCAGTGAGGGTCAGAGCCCAGACTGAGGCCTGGTAATTTTGTTCTTATCTGTGTTCTGGAAAGCACTGCGCCTGAAGCATGTAGGTGACCCAGTGTGTGTTCTCTTGTTGCTCTAACAAGTTACTGCAAATGTGGTGGCTTCCACTCCATAAATGCATTAGCTTGGTGTTCTGTAGGACAGATGTCTGACGGGGGTCTCTCGGGGCTCAAATCAAGGGGTCAGCAAGGCTCCGTTCCCTTCTGGAGGTTCTTTCTGGCCTTTTCCAGCTTCCGGAGACACCCACGCTCCTTGGTTCATGGCACCCTTTTTCCATCTTCAAAACCAGCAATGTTGCATCTCCCCAAACAATTCTTCCATTAGTGGCCTCTTGCCTCTGACTCTCCTCCGATTCTCTGACCATTTTCAAGGACCCTGGTAATTATGCTGGCCCCGCCGGGATCATCGTGACAGCCTCCCTGTTTAAAGTCTACTGATGAGTGACATTAACTCCATCTGGAACCTTGATTCCTCTTTGCTATGCAATGTAACATATTCGCAGGCTCCCAGGTCGAAGATGCAGACACCTGTAGGGAGCCGTTATTCTGCCCACTGTACCCCTCCTTGCCAAGGTCTAGGGAGGAGGATGCAGGGAGAGGCAGGGACCCCAGCCATGGAAAGTCTTGGTGCCAATTGGGAGGCTGCCTTTCTGCACGGAGGCTGAAATCCACACCCCCCAGAGGCAGGCCTTTGAAACCCCTTTGCACACTCTGGACATCTGTACCAGTCCTTCTGATTCTTTTGCTGGGATTCAGCTCTGTTCTCACCTGGCTGCCAGGAGAAAGAAGGTTCCAGCTCACAGCCCTCCGCTATCTAGTCTAACAGAGGCCTGAGCCCCACACACAGGTGGATGTGGGCAGGGAGGCACGGCTCTGACTGGGCAAGGCAAAACCTCCTCATAGAGTTTGAGCCAGATCTTTTGAAAAAGGTAAAATATTGCCAGGTTCCAAAAGTGTATGTGAGTGGGTCAGAAACACTCCAGGCAGAGGGACACCCAGAAGCAAAGGCATGGTGGCCTGAGGAATGCCAAATCTTCTAGCAAGGGCTACAGCATCGTCGGAGACAGTGAGCTGAGGAATTCTAATGTTGCAGAGGGGCTCTTGTGCAGAGAAAAGCTACCTACTGCTGCTTGTGTTTAAATGAATACTGTATTTATTAAACTTATAAATTAAAGGAAGAACTAGTTTTTCTTAAACATCCAAGTGCAACTTGCAAATCTAGTTTTCTATTTATAAATCTGCTAATTTTTGTATAAAAATAAGAACAATTACTTTCACTTATTCTTTGATGCATATTTAATTAACTCATAGGTTCAACAGATTAAATTCTAAAAATGAATGCCAATTACAAACTTAGGTAATTAAATTCCCTAATAGATTTTAAACTACATGTTACAGAGATGAGATAGCTGGTCTTCTCAAACACCTTGAACTCAACATCCTACAGGCATTTTTTTCTTTTTTGTTCCTTTTTCTTTACAAACAGGGAGGAAGTGGGGGAGCCGTGAGGACACTCTTGCCACCCACCTTACTCTGTCCTCCCCAACCAAGCATATTATTTCCTAATCAGGTAAGCAATTTTTAAAAAGAGTTTGTTCATTTATGTATTTGACAGAAAGAGAGAGAGCGGGGGGACAAACAAGGGGAGCAAGAAGCAGAGGGAGAGGGAGAAGCAGGCTCAGCAAGAAGCCCAATGCGGGGCTCCATCTGGGGACCTGGGATCATGACCTGAGCCTAAGGCAGACACTTAACCAACTGAGCCCCCCAGGTGCCCCAGCTAAGCAGTTCTTATATGCTAATAGGTTACACTTGTAAATATGATCAGTCGATTCTCTTAAATGTTCCCAGGCTGTTTATAGACTTAGATCCTTTCACACTGTCTCAGTTGTCTGTTGCTGCATAATAAACTACTGAAAACTTACTTACTGACTTGAAATAATAACCGGGGCATGGAGTCAGCCATTTGGTCTGGGATAAGCTGGAAGTTTCATCTGCTGGTCTTGCCTGAGTCACTCCAGTGGCTGCAGGCATCTGACCCCATGCCTGGGGCTGGGGGCCCTGGGATGGCCTCAGTCCCATGACTGGCAGTTGGTGCTGGCTGTCAGCCAGGCCCCTGGGTTCTGCTCCACGGGCCCCTTATCCTCCCCTAGGCTTGACGGGGGCAGCTTCACAGCAGGCTGGTCTCAAGGACCCGCTGCAAGAAGGCAACCCCAGAGGCTGCCCTCCTGCCTCCTGAGGCCTGACACTGAAGTCATCCATCACTACCACCAAATTCTGTCGTTTGACGCGGGGTCACAAGGTCAGCCCAGATTCGAGGGCGGGAAGAAAGAGACTGGATCTCTTAGTGGAAGAAGCAGACAAATCTCATTGCAAAGGCAGCATGCAGGGGTGGGAGGAATTATTACAGCCATTTTATCTAATTAAATCCATAAATCGGGGGCGCCTGTCTGGCTCAGTTGGAAGTGCGTGCAACTCTCGATCTTGGGGTTGTGAGTTTGAGTCCCACACTGGGTGTGAGATGACTCTAAAAAAAACAAAACAAAACATATCAAATAGGACAGATTGATTTAAGTGTCTCAAAACCTTAAGCAAACACTACTATTAGCACAACGTCACAAAACTTATTCCTACCCCAGGACCAAGATTCTGGGTTTGCTTTGCAGGCTTCCACACCTTTCAGGGTTGCAGAGCCGCCAAAGGAGCAGATTCCATCACAGCGGGGCCAGGGGTGCGATGAGATTTGGGACCATGGTACGGTGAGGGGTTTCCTGCTCCTGGTCTGAGATTTTCAGAGCAGAGCGAGACCCAGAAGAATTCTGCCAGGTCTAAAGGGACCCCCAGGGACGCCTGCGTGACTCAGTGGGTTAAAGCGTCTGCTTTGGGCTAGGGTCATGATCCCAGGGTCCTGGGATGGAGCCTCCCCCGCCCCCATCATCAGCTCAGCAGGGAGCCTGCTTCCCTTCCTCTCTCTCTCTCTCTCTCTGCCTGCCACTCTGCCTGCTTGTGATCTCTGTCAAATAAATAAATAAAATCTTAAAAATATAAAGGGGACCCCCAAACCCATTCCTCTCTCCAGGAGCCGAATTGCAGAGCTCAGTGCATCCCTGTTTCCTGAGAGTCTCTCAGTGTTCAACTTGACCCCATTGTACCAGGACACCTTCCTTCTTTTTGTTGCTTCAACGCAGGTGCACTAGTCCCTGTGCCTCCCAGGTCCCCCTAAGGTCTCCACTATGTGATCGCCATTTTGAGCGTCCCTCGACCCAGGCTGTAATGCAGTCTTCATACTTGACCTTATCACCTGCCTGTATTCCATTCTACTGTTTGTGTCATGAGCCAGTATCATCCAGTCATTTTAATGGGAGGCGTGAAAGGAAGAGTGGTTTAGGTGGTCCTAAGCATCTGCGGCGCCTAACTGTAAGTCACGGCCCTGGGCGGCAGAGGGCGCCCCTTTCCTTGATTCCTCCCGGGGCGGTCTGAGGACCAGGTTGAGGATCCCTGGAGGACTGCTGGGCCTCCCCAGGGAAAGGGCCCTGGCGTGGCCAGCATTGGCTGTCCCTCCTCCGACTTCAGAGAAAGCCTTGGAAGAAGGTGGACGTTCAGGGGATACTTAGCTTGAAGTATATAAAAGCCTCGAATAGTGGGGCACCTGGGTGGCTCAGTGGGTTAAAGCCTCTGCCTTCAGCTCAGGTCATGATCTCAGGGTCCTGGGATCGAGCCCCGCATCGGGGCTCTCTGCTCAGCAGGGAACCTGCTTCTCTGTCTCTGCCTGCTGCTCTGCCTACTTGTGATCTCTATCTCTGTGTCAAATAAATAAAATCTTAAAAAAAAGCCTCGAATAGTATCATTGACAAGTTTTTGTTCCAAGATTTTATTTTTATTTATTTATATTTATTTTTAAGCGATCTCTACACCTAAGGTAGGGCTTGGACCACAACCCTCGAGATCAAAAGTCGCTGGCTCCACAGATTGAGCCAGCCGGGTGCCCTGATTGGGACAAAGTCAAATGACACAATGAATCATGGTTATGAGCGGAATCCTCTTCCCCCCAGATTCTTAGGTGGAAGTCCCAACTTTGGGTCCTCAGGATCTGACTGCATTCAGAGAGAGGGTCTCCAAACAGGTGACTGATAAAAAACGAGGCTGTTAGGGTGAGCCCTCACCAGTCTAAGTAGTGCCCTTGTAAGAAGGAAGTTGGACACGCAGAGACGCACAAAGACCATGTGAGGACACAGCAAGAAGGTGGCCATCTGCAAGCCAAGGCCAGAGGCCCTGGAGAAAACTAGATCTGCCAACACCCTGATTTTGGACTTGCAGAACTGTGAGAAAATAAATCTGTTGTTTAAGCCACCGATTCCATAGGATTTATGTATAGCAGTCCTGGCAATCTCATACAACACCCTCTCCCCAGCCCTAATCCGCGGAAGTATGCCTCGGTTTTGGTACTGGCTGTGCATTCTTCTAGATTTTTCCCGAGCATTTATAATCATAAGTGAAGAAATACACATACAATTTCTTTCTTTCTTTATTTCTTTTTTACAAAAATAGGATTTGGCCACAGACACCGTTCCACAGCTAACTTTCTTCATTCCATAGGACATCATGGGCATGTTTCCCTGTCATTATCTACCCAAGCCTTCTTTTCTTTCAAATTAAATTACATTTAAACTCAATTAATTAACATGCAGTGTATAGTTTCAGAGGTAGAGGTCAATGATTCACCAGTTGCATACAATACCCAGTGCTCATCCCATGACATGCCCTCCTTAATGCCCATCCCCCAGCCACCCAACTCCCACCCACCTCCCCGCCAGCAACGGTTTGTTTCCTAGAGTTAAGAGTCTCTTATGGTTTTTTTTTCTCTCTCTCTCTCATTTTGTTTAATCTCTTTTTCCCTCTCTTCCCCTATGATCCTCCATTCTGTTTTTTAAATTCCACATACGAAGGGTGCGTCATTGAGCATCTGCTTTCAGCTCAGGTCATGGTTCTAGGGTCCTGGGATCGAGCCCTGCATCAGGCTCCCTGCTCCACCAGAAGCCTGCTTCTCCCTCTCCCTCTGCCGCTCCCCCTGCTTTTGCTCCTCTCTCCCTGTGTCTCTGTCAAGTAAATAAATAAAATCTTTTAAAAATAATTCCACACATGAGTGAAACCATATGATATTGTCTTTCTCTGACTTACTTTGCTTACCATAATACCCTCTAGTTTCATCCACGTTGGTGCAAATGGCAAGATTTCATTTTTTAATGGCTGAGTAATATTCTGGTGTGTGTGTGTGTGTGTGTGTGTGTACACCATATTTTTATCCATTTATCTGTTGATAGACACATGGGCTCTTTCCACAGTTTGGCCGTTGTGGACATTGCTGCTATAAACACTGGGGTGCAGGTGCCCCTTCGGATCCCTACATTTGTATCCTTTGGGTAAATACCCAGTAGTGCAATTGCTGGGTTATAGTGTAGCTCTATTTTTAACTTTTTGAGGAAACTCCATACTGTTTTCCAGAGTCCGAGCCTTCTTTTTATTTATTTATTTATTATTTTTTTTAAAGATTTAATTTATTTGACAGAGACACAGTGAGAGAGGGAACACAAGCAGGAGGAGTGGGAGAGGGAGAAGCAGGCTTCCTGCTGAGCAGGGAGCCCGATGTGGGGCTCAATCCCAGGACTCTGGGATCATGACCTGAGCCGAAGGCAGGTCCAGCCTTCTTTTTAAGGTTCCCAAATATTCCGTTCTGAGCCTGGGTGGCTCAGTTGGTTAAGCATCTGCCTTCTGCTCGGGTCATGATCTCAGGGTCCTGGGATCAAGTCCCATATCTGGCTCCCTGCACAGGGAGTGGGGGGGGGGGGTTCTGCTTCTCCCTCTGTTCTTCCCCCTGCTCATTCTCTCTCCCCTCTCTCTAAAATAAATAAATAAAGTCTAAAAAAACCCACGAATTTCCATTCTATGGTGACAGCGTTCATAGTTTCCTTTCTTTTTTCTTTTTGGCTTAAACAGCAGAAATTTATTTTCTGTGGAGTCTGAGAGTCCAAGATTAAGGTGCCGGCATTCCCAGGTTCTAGGGAGGGCATTTGACCTGCCTTATAGATGGCTGCCTTCTTGCCTAGCTTGCTGGCTTGTCTTTCCATGGCAGAAAGAGAGAACGCAAGCTCTCTGTGTGTCTTCAGGGCACTAACCCTATCACAGGGGCCCCACCCTCATGGCCACGGCTCAACCCGAGCTGCCTTCCGAAGTCTCCACCTCCGGTGCCATCACACTGAGGACTGAGGGCTTCAGTGTAGGACTCTGGGGCCCACAATTCAGTCCAGAGCGAGAGGCAGCATCGTGTTTCCCAGCATCCTCCATGGATGCACATGGTTGCCACTCCTTTTGCTGTGACAAACATCCTTGTGCCACCAGGCTGGGGTTACCTGTGGGATAAATTCTGAAGAACGGAGTTGCTTTTTGCATCTTAGATGTGGCTAAGTGTACCTTCCCACCAACCGGATGTGCGAGGGCCTGTTTCCCACACGCTCACCCTCTCTGCCACGTGGTGGTTTTCGAGAAACAGGTGGTGGAAAGGAGAAGGTGAGGTTGGTGACATTTATCTCTGAGGGGAAACCAGAACCGGGGGTGAAGAAGTCCAGGGGACAGAAAGAAGGTCAGAGAGCCCCTCTGGGAGAGGCTGAGGGACCCATAGTGGGAGCAGAAGAGGCACAGGTTTTATTTGCTCATTTGCTACATGCTTACAAGCGTGAGCAATGTCCCCAGCCCAGACTGTGCTCAGCGGTGAACAGAGCACCGGCCCTGCCTCTGTGGAAACTTCTGGTGTGAGAGACACACGGTAAACAAGGCAGCAAGCACAGGTCATTTCAGGCAGGGCCTAGAGCCACGGAGAGAATGAATTTGAAGGGCTGGAGAGGCAGAAGCACGGGGAGGTGGAGGGAAAGGGGGAGACAGCACCCAGGGCCACGGGGGGTTTCGATTCCATACACTTCTGGAGGGTGTTGGTCAAGGGTGAGGGGCAGTTAAGTTTTATTTTATTTTTTTAAAGATTTTATTTATTTATTTGACAGAGATCACAAGTAGGCCGAGAGGCAGGCAAAGGTGGGGGGAGGGAAGCAGGCTCCCGCCAGCTGAGCAGAGAGCCCAATGCAGGACTTGATCCCAGGACCCTGGGATCATGACCTGAGCTGAAGACAGGGGTTCTAACCCACTGAGCCACCCAGGCACCCGCCAGCTGAGTTTTAAACGGTGCTTCTTGGTAGTCTTGGACACAATGGCACTCAGATGGGCATGGGGGACAGAGCTGGAGTAAAGTGGATGGGACAAGCACTGTACCAGCAGGATTTCTAGCCTCAGCAGGAAAGAGGAAAGCATGGGAACAGCCCTGGGGGTGAGTCCTCTGGTTGTCTGTTGTCTCTTGCTGTGTAACAAACTACCTTGTTTTGATGGCTGAAGACAACAGCTCTTTGATTAAATCTCATGATTTGTGGGTCAGGGCTCAGCTGGGTGATTTTGTTCCATGCGGCCTCGACTCGGGTCACTCAGTGGTATCAGGAGATGAGGCTGGGCTGGGGGACCCGAGAGAGCTTCCCTCACCCTGGCTGGGATGTCTCCAGGCACTGTCAAATATCCTCTGGGGGCAAAATCAGCCAGGTTGAGAACCAGAAGCTTGGGATCAACTCATTTGGACTCCAAGCCCCCATCCCACCCAGCCGTGAGGGAATCTTACCCTGGTTACAACTAGGATTCTCGTCCAGGTGATCTCAGATCATGGGGGTGGGGGTGGGGGTGCCCGTGTGGTGCCCTAGACCTGAGGAGATGTTCCAATCCACCACCATAGCTGCTGTCCATGTCCTCACTGGGCTCACCTCAGTGGTCCCCTGAATCCAAAGATGCTCTCCTCTCACCCCACCCCAACACTGCC